AGACATTTAGACGTTTACAGCGTTCAGGGTTTCTCTCATCTGAGCGTGTTCAAGAAAAACATAGAAAATATGAAATATGATCATAAAAATAAAACCTCAACTAGTTAATAAAGCTCTCTATGGTTAAACATGCGACTCAAATCTGCTCACAATGGACTTTTTCTAAAAGAAACAGTGTGCGCCCTCCACTGGACAGGAGAGAAAAAAACACCCAAAAGGAAAAATCCACCAACTCTTCGAAATTCCTCTCTAGTTCAGTGGTTGAGATGTAAAGAAAGTCATTCGGAGTCGTTTACGTCTCACATTGTAACCCTTTAAATATGAACAAATTTTAAAAAATCAGTGGTCTTCCCCTTTAAGCCTAGTCCTGGGCTAAACTGCAGTGCCAATGAAGAATCACCATTAAAATATTCTTCAGCTTAATCTCTGAGAAACTCCGTCATAATGAGGCACCTAAACGCTGAATTCAACATCAGCTGGTAAAATCAGATCATCAGCATTAATCTAGGAATCATTTATTACACAGTGACCGTAACTCTGTCCAGTCTGGGATTTATTTAAAGCTATTTCTCTCTGACGGGTGTGATGACGGTGGTGATGTCACTGAGCAGATCTCCTCCTAGACACACAGCTTCACTGTACGGTCCAATGTTTACTCCCGTCAGTAAAACAGTCCGCAGTGTTTGATTTTTAGACTCAGACTGTTTCACAGCCGCTGTAATGAAGGCCTGGTGAAACTGACCCGCTGAAGGTCCGACGGTCTGAGGTGGAGTTTATGGCTGATGGTTCTCCTGGTTCTCTGTGGAATGTAGGCTGAGGTGAATCAGCTGTGGTGACCTTCTCTATGCAACTAGCGCCACCTGCTGGATATACGTGTGCTTACTGATGGACCTCTGCTCTGAAAAGCCTCCTGCTCTGATTGGGGTTCTGATCGGTGAGTGATATTTAATGGGGGGCGATATTGGGGCAATATGACGATATGTTATTGTTATTGTCATAAAAGGATACCGTTTTCTGAGGGGATCGTGTGCATCGTCTGAAAAAACAGCATGCATGACTAAAACAACAGCCAAAACAGTGAATATAAAAAGTTCAGTAAGTGTATGAACTGTACAGTATCTGTATGAACTGTACAGTAAGTGTTTAAACTATAGTTTATAAACTACAGTAAGTAAACTTTGGAAAATGGGTGGCATTTCCCTTTAAATGAACGAAAATGAGGTGAACCGTGTAACAGTGTAACAGTTCTACTGTGTAGCTCAGATGTTTATCTAGAACAGTAACCTAAAAGCCTGTAACACATTTTGACCACGCCTCCATCCTTCCTCCCAGTGGGGTCTGACACTCTGCAGATGGAGGTGACGTCACGCCCTGCGCTGCTGACGCTGTGTGATGAGAGAGGGAGAGAGAGAGAGAGGGAGAGAGAGAGAGAGAGAGAGAGAGAGAGAAAGAGAGGGAGAGAGAGGGGGAGAGGGGTAGAGGGGAGGAGAGGAAGGGTATGGAGGATTGTTCAGGCAGCTCCGCTCTGTGTTAGAAGGTCACTGTGGAGATCAGTGCGGACAGCGGAGGTTCAGCATCGCTCTGTTGCTGGGAGACCACAAGCAGCATCATCAGATCTTCAGCTCTGTTCTGTTCAGCATCTGGAGCTCAAGCTCTCAGCACGAGGACCCCAAAGAGCTGCTTCACTCCGTTATTTACTTCACTGATCTCCATCAGCGGCCCGCGCGCTGCCCCTGCGGAGACTCACAGCGCTGCACTCTCACTGCACTCACTGCGCTTCACTGCACTCACTGCGCGCTTTTCTGTGCAGGTCTCGGCGGGTTGCGCTCTGGTGAGTGATGGACGGGCGAGTCTCGCGGTGTTTTTGTATTTATTTGCGTTTTTATCGCCTTTTTGAGGCGCTCAGTTTGCACATGCGCACACCGAACCGCAGTGCCGCCGTCGAACACGCCCATTACGGCGAGGAGGCTGGTCACGTGATCGCAGCTTACCTGCTAGCAGGCCAGGCTGGGCCAGGCTAAGTGTTTACACTGTGTGGTGAGATGTAAGAGGCTGATTTTGTGATAAATATCAGAGACGATCAGTTTGTGATCATCTGTCTGAGTTATGAACCCCATAATCAGGATATTACAGCTGAACACAGTTTACAGAGCTAAACACTGAATATGAACCCTGAAAGAGTTTTTACGGTATTTGTTTTAAAGAAATGTTTTTAAAAATAATCGCAAGTGAAAATGTTTTGTTTTTGTATATTTCTATGTTTACAGGCATTTTACATGTTCCTGTAGATCAGGGGTGTCAAACTCTAAAAGGGCCACGTTAAAAAACCTCAGCTAATCTGTGGGCCAGCAGTGTTTTTATTTAATTTTCCCCTAACAGTTTGCCACGACCTGAACAGGCCATTATTAATTTAAAACATGCCAAAGCTGCAACAGAAAAATAGGCACTGAATACTTATTTTAAAATAATCCTAAATAAAAATAAATTGTTTTAGGTAGTTTTTTTTTAAAACTGCCTATTTGCTGAAACTAGACTCCAGGCATCGTTTCGTTGTGCGTAACCTCTGGCCTAGATATTGTTGTTGGGGGTCAGAATGCACACTGTGTTGCAGTGCATGCTGAGGACTGTAGTGCATCTCAGGGTGAAACGGACTAATAACAACAGAAAATTTAAATAGTTTCACAGGCTGAATAGAACTGTGTCACGGGCCTGACTTGGCCTTGTGTTTGACACATGGGCTGTAGACAATCATTGAAGTCCCATAAAAATATTACAAAATAAAAGCTGTCTCCGTTTTTACATGATCTAGCATAGCATCCACATCTTCTTTTTTATTCTTATTTATTTATTTAGTTTTTATTTTTTTTGTAGCATTTACAGAAAAGTAGTGAAGATTGCTGCTGAGAACCTTATGATAGAAACTCTAACCTGAAAAATCACTTTTTTTTGTGCGTTACTGGGTCAAACGTTACAAACAATTTATTAAGTTTTTGTCAAATTGTAGATGATTTCGAATCTGTTTGTGAAACATTAATTTTGGAGTTTGGAGTGTTTTGGTCTCTCCCTGTTCAGAGAGGAAATAACTGACTTTCCTATAGGGACTTTGGTGGCAGCCAGTTTAGCCTGAAATGTTCCCCCATCTCAGCACAGTGTGACGAGCCTGTTCCTCAAAGTTGTTTTACACAAAACAATACATGTGCTGGCAAAACCCATAGAAACCATTAGGCTTAGTGTTTCTGTTGGTTCTTTATGGTTTTGTAATGTGTTTTGTCTTTTTTAATGGGTTGATATCACAGTCTAAAGGATTCTAATGGTTTAACAGGAGACTAGTGGCTGATTCTAAATGCATATTATGGTTTCCTAATGGGATCTAAAGGTGTTCCCATTAGCAAGCAAAACCATTAGATAGATAGATAGATAGATAGATAGATAGATAGATAGATCACTTTATTAATCCCAGAGGGAAATTCCTGTACTGCAGCAATACAAAGTACAATAAAGAGCAAAATAAACAGGAGCAAAGTATTATCTTAGTGTTTACAGATACATAAATAGAAATCAGAGATAAATAACAGAATAAAATGAAATAAAAAGTATACTAAAAACAATGACAGTGACAGTGCAGTGCTGCACGTCCCCTCCAGTGACTGAACTACTGACTGTACTGTTAACAATAACCTTGTTAACAGTTGTGCAATATGACATTTATAGATGCATAAACAAAGTGGCAGTGAAATGTGGAATATGTATAAATGTATAATCAAAGTGGCAGTGCATAGTAATTTGAGTGGAGAGATGTAACGTAGTGTCCAGTTGGCGCCCAGTGAGTCTGTCCTGTCAGTGGCTCAGTATACAGTAATGTCCTGGCACAGTGACGAGGTTCTGTATAGTGCGATCACTGTTGGTACAGACGATCTCCTGTACCGTTTCTCACTATGTAGGAGCTGAATGAGGCTGTTGCTGAAGGTTCTCCGCTGTCTGACCAGTAGGTCATGGAGGGGGTGTGATGTGTTGTTCAGGACAGCAGCGAGTTTATTGAGTGACCTCCTTTCAACCACCACCTCAAAACCATCCAGTGAGCAGCCCAAGACAGAGCCAGCCTCCTTGATCAGTTTATTGAGCCTCTTTGCGTCTCCCCTTCTGACGCTGCCCCCCCAGCAGTTGCTGCAAAGAAGGCAGGGCCCCCAACAACAGACTAGTAGAAGATCACCAAAATCCTGCTGCGCACATTAAAGGACCTGAGCCTCCTCAGAAAGTAGAGTCTGCTCATCCCCTTCCTGTACACAGCCTCGTGTTGGTCCTCCAGTCCAGTTTGTTGTCAAGCATCACACCCACATATTTGTAGGTGTCTATCAGCTCAACATTCTGACCCGTGAGGGTAACAGGACTGGTCATGGTCCTCATCCTCCTGAAGTCCACTACCATCTCCTTGGTCTTGGCTACATTGAGGATCAGGTGGTTCCTCGTACACCACTCACCAAAACTTTCCACAAGGTTCCTATACTCACCTTCCTGCCCATCCCTGATGGATCTAACCACCACAGAGTCATCAGAACAGTTCTGAAGGTGGCAGGGGTCCGATCTGTATTGAAAGGTTTAGGTTTTAACCCTAATGGTTCTAATATTTTTTTCAGGCAGGGTAAAGAGACAAATATTTTTGTAAGAGAAATATGATATTAAAATTATGGAGGACTAAAAAGTGTGATTTCCTCACATGAATGACTCAGAAATGTCCTCCATCGTCCTCTGTTTACTGTGTATTCTGTCATAATGTCACTCACAGAGCTCGTCAAACAGAAATATATAAACGTGTTTGCATAAACGAGTGAATTAATACAGGCCTCGTGTTGTTTCCTCTGATAATGTGATGAGAACTCTGCGGTTCTGAGACTGTTCTGTTGGTTGATGGTGAAAATCTCTAACTTGTGTGCTCTGTGTCATTCAGGCTGCAGGAGGCAAGGTGTCCCATTCATGGCAGAAGTTGGTGTTCCTTGGTGAGAAGTTGCCAAGCTGGACGAGTCGGGCTCTGACGGGTGGAGAACAGATCCAGATACATCTGTCCACCGTGAGTCCACTCAGGAGGAGCAGTATGTAGGGGAAGGAATAGAAGAACCTAAAGCTCTGCCTCCACACGCCGCCTACCGGGACGCAGAGACCATCACAGGTCAGTCTGTGTGTCAGTGAATTTGGTGCTGTTAAAAGTCTGAACACCTACAGTCTACAAAATTAATACTGTTAATTAGTTTTAGTCTCAAAAATAAATCCACTGAATTAATAAACATCATATTCAGTTTAGTCACTGTGGGGAGGCAGCAGCTCCGAATAACAGGAGGATATCAGGCTCAGCTGTTTAACCGTAAAGTCAGTTTCACTAGAAAAGCCATGGACTGTGGACTGTTTGAGGAAACGCCCGTAAAACTGTATTCCTGTCTTTTACTATGATTTAATGATTTGGATCATTGACACAGTGTCCAGTATAACTGCATATGGGGCGAGACACAATCTGCTGTACATCCTGTAATACGCAACACCTTTCGGCCATGTTTCCACACTGCAAAAAATTATATGTAAGCAAGTGAAAACATCTTAAATCCAGACAAATCTAATATTTCTCATTATGAGACTGCTGTAAGAATGTTGTAAGATTGTTTAATTTATTTCTAGACATTTAATTAATTTGTAAGTAATTTGATCTTATGAAAGTGTTGTATTCCAGTAGAGTAGAGTTGCAAAAATGTACCTGAATCCTTCATCTCAACAGAAGAATGGTTTTACATTAATTAAGATCATCCTAACCAGAATTTTCATCCATCGTTAGCATTTAGCAGTTTTAGAGACTGAATTCAGGGCAACGTCTGAGAAATCGCGTCTCTGCTGTGAGCAGATGTTCTGTATTAAACTGTACAGTTGCAGTGCTGTAGTTCCAGGATCTGCCACAGGGTGCTGTTGTTTAGAATATAACAGAGACTCTGCAGAGCTGCACCAGAGCTTATTACTGTGAGCACATATTCATCACATATTATACATAGTTAATATTAATATCTCTCTTTCTGTCTGTCTGTCTGTCTGTCTGTCTCTCTCTCTCTCTCTCTCTCTCTCTCTCTCTCTCTCAATTTAATTCAATTCAAGGTGCTTTATTGGCATGAAAAAATATGCTACATGTGTATTGCCAAAGCTTGCCAGAGATTTTTAAACAGAAATCAACGATTTAAGGTGAACATATTAGATTCTAGGAATAAAAAAAAAAAACATTTGGTCTTAATATGTTAAACATTGCAAAATTGCTAAATTGTAGAGCTGTAATTTTAAAAAGACAGGATACAATAAAATAGCAATACCAAACAATAATCAATGTATGAAAAACAAACATGTATTCGTACGTGTGTGTATATGTATGTGTGAGTGTGTTAGTGTGTGGGTGTGTGTTAGTGAGTGTTAGTGTGTGTTAGTGTGTGTGAGTGTGTTAGTGAGTGTTAGTGTGTTAGTGAGTGTTAGTGTGTGTGTGTGTGTGTGTGTGTGTGTGTGTGTGTTAGTGAGTGTCAGTGTGTAAGATAAGATAAGATAATCCTTTATTAATCCCACAACGGGGAAATTTGCGGTGTTACAGCAGCACAGAAGACAGAGCAGCAGGAAATATACAAACAATATATAAAATAGAATAAACAATAAAAATATAAAGATATATGTATATGTACAAAAATTACAAGAAAAATATACAAAGTATTAAATTTAAATTTAGAAATGTAGAAATGTATGTATTGTAGTGAGTATTGCACAGTGAATAAAATAGCAAATAAATAAACAGTAATAAATGGAGAAATATTGCACTTGACATAATTGCACATAATGGTGGTAAACATATTGACAGTGATCCGCAGTGAATATACTACGCATGGTGGACTGAGATGTTGCACACAGTAAAGTGCTGTGGCAGTGATGTTGAGAGTTCTTGCACATGGAAAGTAATTGTAAACTACTGTCTACTGAGTGCCGTGACTGTTATAGAGTCTGACAGCGGCTGGGAGGAAGGACCTGCGGTATCTCTCCTTCACGCACCGCGGGTGCCGCAGCCGGGCACTGAAGGAGCTGCTCAGTGCTGTCAGAGAGCAGTGCATGGGGTGGGACAGGTTCTTCAGCATGTTTGTTAGCTTAGTCCTCATTCTCCTGTCCCCCACCACCTCCACTGGGTCAAGAGGACATCCCAGGACAGAGCTGGACTTCCTGATGATCTTATTCAGTCTCTTCCTGTCAGCAATGGAGATGCTGCTACCCCAGTACACCACTCCATAAAAAATGGCTGATGCCACCAGAGCGTCGAAGAAGGTCCTGAGAAGTGCCCCCTGCACGCCAAAGGCCCTGAGTCTCCTCAGGAGATGTAGCCTGCTCTGGCCTTTCCTGTAGAGGGCAGCTGTGTTGTCAGTCCAGTCCAGCTTGTTGTTGAGGTGAACACCCAGGTACTTATAGGACTTCACAATCTCAATGTCCATTCCCTGGATGTTCACAGGCACTGGAGGAGAATGTTTGGACTTGCGGAAGTCCACCACCAGCTCCTTGGTTTTTCCTGCGTTGATCTGCAGGCAGTTCCTCTGGCACCATTCCACAAAGTCCTGCGTCAGTTCTCTGTACTCCCTGTCATCTCCGTCTGTGATGAGGCCGACGATAGCAGAGTCGTCAGAGAACTTTTGCAGGTGACAACTGGCAGAGCTGTACTTGAAGTCCGCAGTGTAGAGGGTGAAGAGAAAGGGAGCGAGGACAGTTCCCTGTGGAGCCCCCGTGCTGCAGACCACCGTGTCCGACTGACAGCCCTGGGTCCTCACATATTGCGGTCAGTTAGTGAGGTAGTCCAGGATCCAGGTGGTGAGGTGATGGTCCAGGCCCGTGCACTCCAGCTTGTCCTTCAGCAGTGTGGGTTTGATGGTATTGAAAGCACTGGAGAAATCAAAAAACATGATTCTCACAGTGCTCCCAGCATTCTCCAGGTGAGAGAGAGAGCTGTGTAGGAGGTGGATGATGGCATCCTCCACTCCAATGCCAGGTTGGTAGGCAAACTGCAGTGGGTCCATTGAAGAGCTCACCAGGGGGCGCAGGTGGACAAGAAGCAGTCTCTCCAGGGTCTTCATCAGGTGAGATGTCAGCGCCACCGGCCTATAGCTGCTGAGGTCTTTGGGGTGTGGGGTCTTTGGCACTGGCACCACACAGGATGTTTTCCACAGCTGTGGGACTTTCCCTAACCTCAAGCTGAGGTTAAAGATGTACCCGACCACGTCACACAGCTCGTTCGCACAGGTCTTGAGAAGCCTTGAGCTGATGGCATCTGGACCTGCAGCCTTCCTGATCTTCATCCTCCTGAGCTCACTTCTCACCTGGGATGATGTGAATGTGAGGCTGGAGTAAGGGAGAACAGTGCTGGGATGTATGTCAGCAGGAGAGCCGTCTGATGGTGGCTGTGTGTTGAGATGAAGGGGGGTGGGTGCAGGAGAGGGGGGAGGGCCAAATGCTGGTAGTGCCAGACAGGGAGAATTCAGCAGTGATGTGCCTGTGGTGGGGGGAGCAGGCGAGTGATCAAACCTATTAAAGAATAGATTGAGTTCATTCACCCACTTGTGGTCCCCCACAGCCCGGGAGTCGGGCTTCTTGAGTCCAGAAATAGTTTTGAGGCTATTCCAGACTCCACTGACATTATTCTGCTGCAGCTGGGCCTCCATCTTTCTCCTGTAGCTGGCTTTCCCCTCCCGGATCTTCCTTCTCAGCTCCCTCTGCACAGATCTCATCTCCTCCTTGTCACCTGATTTAAAAGCCCTTTTCTTCTCTTTCAGGAGGGCCTTTATATCAGGATTAATCCAGGGTTTGTTGTTGGAGAAACACCGAATGGTCTTGGTGGGTACGGTATTCTCCACACAGAAGTTGACATAGTCCGTTATGAAGTGTGTGAGGCCATCAATATCTTCCGCATAAGGATCACACATCTCCTCCCACAGTGTTGTGCTGAAACAGTCTTTCAAAGCCTCTTCAGACTCTGCAGTCCATTTCTTCACTGTGCGGGTGATGGTTGGTTCTCTGTGTACAAGTGGTTTGTACACAGGCAGAAGATGAACCAGGTTGTGATCTGATCTTCCGAGGGGAGGGAGGGGTAGGGAGTTATATGCCTCCTTTGTATTGGCATAAAACAAGTCCAGTATTTTATTGTCTCTGGTGTGGCAGGTGACATACTGGGTGAAGGTAGACAGTGTTGAGGATGGAGAAGAATGGTTAAAGTCCCCAGAGATCAGGAGGAGGGCCTGTGGGTGCTGGGTCAGAATCCTGCTCACAGCTGAGTGCAGGACGTCACAGGCAGCATCAGCGTTAGCAGACGGAGGAACGTACGCAGCTATCGCGATAGCATGCGAGAATTCACGTGGCAAATAGTATGGCCTCATGCTAACGGCTAACAGTTCAATGTCCTTACAGCAGATTTGCTCTTTAATAGAGATGTGTCCAGAATTACACCATCTATCATTCACAAATACTGCCAGTGTGTGTGTGTGTTAGTGTGTGTGAGTGTGTTAGTGAGTGTTAGTGTTAGTGTGTGTGTGTGTTAGTGAGTGTCAGTGTGTGTGTGTGTGTGTTAGTGTGTGTGAGTGTGTTAGTGAGTGTTAGTGTGTATGTGTGTGTGTGTTAGTGAGTGTTAGTGTGTGTGTGTGTGTGTTAGTGAGTGTCTGTGTGTGTGTGTTAGTGTGTGTGTTAGTGTTAGTGTGTGTGAGTGTGTTAGTGAGTGTTAGTGTGTGTGTGTGTGTGTTAGTGAGTATCAGTGTGTGTGTGTTGGTGTGTGTGAGTGTGTTAGTGTTAGTGTGTGTGAGTGTGTGTTAGTGAGTGTGTGTGTTAGTGAGTGTCAGTATGTGTGTGTTAGTGTGTGAGTGTGTGTGTGTGTGTTAGTGAGTGTCAGTGTATGAGTGTGTGTTAGTGAGTGTTAGTGTGTGTGTGTGTGTGTGTGTGTGTTAGTGTGTGTGAGTGTGTTGGTGAGTGTTAGTGTGTGTTAGTGAGTGTTAGTGTGTGTGTGTGTGTGTGTTAGTGAGTGTCAGTGTGTGTGTGTGTTAGTGTGTGTGAGTGTGTGTGAGTGTGTTAGTGAGTGTTAGTGTTAGTGTGTGTGTGTGTTAGTGTTAGTGTGTGTGTGTGTTAGTGAGTGTC